GTTACTGATTCGAAAATTAACTTAAAAGCTTGAGGAATCTTTTTTTAAAATTAGATAGTAATTTTGAGAACCTATTAGAGATGGATGTTGAATCTTAGCCTATTATTTTTGGGTTAGTTAGTTGTAAATTGAAAAAGAGAAATTTTTACAAACCACTATTGTTTAGTGGTTATTAGCTAGCTGTAGCTACCATTTACTATATTACTTCCTATAGCTATATTTTCAGTTTTGCTAGAGTGTATTCGATGTATTTAAGCTACTGTATTCATGTGTGATGACCCAAAGGGTCATCTTTTGATTTAGAATCTGATTTCGTGTTCCGAGGCCTTGAAAACCTCATTTTATCTCTCCTCAATTTGCGTGCGCAGTCCGGGCGTGTATCCGGAAAGTCCTTATGTGAAAACATTTAAGAAAAGATGATTTTTGTTGACTTTGGTCAACGTTTTGGGTAAACGGACCCGGACCGTGTTCCGATGGTCCCGGAGGGTCCGTAGTAAAATATGGGACCTGGGCGTATGCCCGGAATCGAATTCCGAGGTCCCTAGCCCGAGAAATGAATTTTTGAAGAAAATTGATAAGACTGAAAATGTAATAATTTAGATATAAGATTTGATCTTGTTGGTATCGGGTCCGTATTCTGGTTCCGGAGCCCGGTACAGGTCCGTTACGATATTTAAACCTTATCTGTGAAATTTGGTGAAAACCGTAAGTGATTTGGCGTGATTCGGACCTTTGGTTGAGAAAATAGAAAGTTTGAAACTATCTTAAAAGTTTCATGTGTTTTGGTGTTGAATTCATAGTTCCAGGTGTTATTTTGGCAATTTGATCGCATGAGCAAATTCGTATGATGTTATAAGACTTGTGTGCATGTTTGGTTTGGAGTCCCGAGGGCTCGGGTGAGTTTTGGATAGGCTACGGAGTGATTTGGACTTAAAGAATTTTGCTGGTGTGCTTCAGGTCTGCAGACTTCGCATTGTCTGGCTCGTAAATGCGAGCATCGCATTTGCGAAGATATTTCGCATTTGCGATCAGGAGGCTGGGAAGGGGACCTTAACATTTGCGAAGCTCAGCGTCGTGTCTGCGATGAGAACAAGGGCCGCATTTGCGAACACTTGTTCGCATTTGTGATGCTAGCAGGCCAGGACAATCTTCGCATTTGCGAAGTAAAGTCCGCATTTGCGAGTTCGCATTTGCGAACCTGTGATCGCAAATGCGATACCTGCAACTGTCCAAAATGTTTTTTGGACGGGATTTTTCATTCATTCTCCCATTTTTCAAAACCTAAACTTCAAGAGGCGATTTTCCAAAGACTAGTTCTTCCCCAAATCATAGGTAAATGATTCTTAACTTGTTTCTTTCAATCTATTTCATCTTTTTACAAGATTTCATCCTAGAATCTACGGTTTTTCATGGTGGAATTGGGTGTTTTTGGGTAGAACTTAGGAATTTTGAAATTTGGGATTTAGGCCTCAAATTGAGGTCGGATTCCAAAACCAATTGTATATCCGATCTCGGGGGTGAATAGGTAATCGGGTTTTGGTCCGAATTTCGGGTTTTGACCAAGCGGACCGGGGTCGATTTTTGACTTCTTGGGAAAATATTGGGAAATCTATAATTATGCATTGGAATTGGTTTCTTTAGCGTTTATTGATGTTATTAAGTTAGTTATGGCTAGATACGAGTGGATTGGTGGTGGAATCGAGAGGTAAAGCAGTATTTGAGCTGTGAATTACCCGTTGGCTTGAGGTAAGTGTTTGGTCTAACCCTGACTTGAGGGATTAGGGATCCCCGACTTGCTTGCTATGTGAAATACCATGTGTGTGGCGTATAGGTGTGGTGACGAGCACCTATGCGTCGCCAAATTACCTGTTTAGCATGTTCCCTTTCCCCGTTTCCCTATATATTGCTTTCCTGTTTTAATTGCTACTTACTTATTGATGCTTCCATGTCTAATTGCTTCTTGTTAAATGTTGTTTCTCTATTGATGTTATTAATTGTTCCGTAGTTACATCATATCACACTGTTGGTTTACGTTGGTTTATTGGTAACTGATGAAGTTTGGTTGGTCTCGTTGTGTAGTAATGACTGATGAAGTTTCATAATTGTAGTGATCTTCTGTTGTGCTGGTTTGAGGTATAAGTGTTATGGAGGATTTGAATTAATTTGTGAAATAGTTGTTCTTAATTTATGATTGGTACTGAAATAGTGGGATCGGGTTGTACGCCGCAACATGAGGAATAAGGGTGAAATGTGATTGTCTGGTGGGATCGGGTTGCACGTCGCAACAAGGAGTAATAAGGGTGGACATGTGGGATCGGATTGCATGCCGCAACAGGAGGAATAAGGGTGATATATTGAGGAGTAATAAGGTGGACTGGTGGGATCAGGTTGCACGCTGCAACAAGGAGTAATAAGGGTGAATATTTATACTGTTATTGATTATATGGTGGGATCGGGATGCGCGCCGCATCATTTGTTGTTTATGTATTCTTCTGCTGAGGTTCATTATTGTGGTGTTGAAACTCCCTTAAGGATTGGTTATAGCTGAGTATTGGTAGAACGACCGGGTTCCGTATCTATTTAATGCAAGTTACTGTTATATTTCATTCCGTATTTCCTTTCTGTCTTAGTATAAACTATTGCAGGTTATATATTGTTATGCCCCGCCGCAGCCTCGTTACTACTTCGTCGAGGTTAGGCTCGGCACTTACCAGTATATGGGGTCGGTTGTACTGATACTGCACTCTACACTTTCTGTGTAGATTTCGGAGCTGGTAGTGGCTGATCGAGAGGTCGGTTGTTGTTACTGCATTCAGGAGACCCAAGGTAGTCCTGTAGGTGTTCGCCGGCCCTGGCGTCCCCTCTTATCTTTACTTCATTTTTTATTTTACTTTCTTCGAGACAGATGTATTTTCTTTCAAACCATTACTTGTAGTATTCGTAGACTGTTCGTTAGTTGTGACACCAGTTTCTGGGTGGTATCTATTTCGGCTTTCGTTAATAGTATAAGGGTAATCAGTTAAATCTGTACTTCTGCTTTTATTTCAGCTGAAGTAGTTTTGTTAAATTTTAATTATTCAAGGATAAAGGAAAAAGGTGAAATATTCTATAACGTTGGCTTGCCTAGCGAGTGCAATATTAGGCGCCATCACGGTCCAGAAGGTGGAAAATTCGGGTCGTGACATCATGAATACAGTAGCAAAACTCGGCGTGAAACAGGGGAGTACAGCTAGGCAATTATTATATTCGACTGTATTCACGATATGTATTTGTGAATACAGTAACGTAAATAACGTAAATCGTGGTCTATTCAGCTATTTTTAAACGGAAAGTGAATCAATTAACACAAATAGACTCCTAATATAACTCAACAAACTCAATTATAAATCTGAATACATAAATGCATCTGAATACATAAATTATATTAATTAAATAAACATATGAATAAATTCATAGAATATAGCGAGACAGTGAATACAATGAAATACATGGAACACAGCGAGATACATTGAAATACAATGGAAAAAAAGACAATGAATACAATGAAATACGTAGAATACAGCGAGATACATTGAAATACAATGAAAAAAAGGTAACAGACTCTTCAAGTTGCTCAGCCCCAAACTCCGTCGTCTTTGTTCAAGAATAACCCTAATGTCTTCTCGTCGATAGCAGATTTCGAACCTCCATTGTCAGCCCCAATTTACCATATGTCAGATTTCGACATTGATACGAAAGAGGATTGGCATTAATGGAGAGAAAATGGAGAAATAGAAGGCAACTTTCCTCCCAGTAAAAAAGAGGGGAGAATTTAATCTTTTTCTTTTTACAGGTTTTAAATTCTTTCACCAATGAAAGAGGATTTGTTTAGCATAGCCGCTATTTTCGTTCAGCCCCAATTTACGTTTCAATAGCAGATTTCGAACCTCCATCTTTCTCTCTAGGCCTTGATTTTGACATTGATTCAGAGCCCCAAGCCACAGACAATGAAAACTTCGTCCGACAATGGAGATGAATCAGTGGAGAATCATGGTTGTATTCATGGAGAAAGACTGGCGTTGAGAGAGAGAGAGAGAGAGGGTGGAGAAAAATCTGAAAGAATGAGAGAGAAAAATAATACAAAACGTATTTTATGGCTTAAGGGTAGGAGGTGACCATAAATAGATATTTGGCTATAAAAATCAAACGGTAGCTATGGAATATAATTTTTTAAAAGGGTATTTATTTAAAATAAATAATGTATCAACCTTTGGTACAGGAGGTAAAAATTCCATTGAAATATGGCTATAAAATTAAAAATTAGGGAGCCCAGATGTTCTTATGTGAAATTTTCCCTACAAAATATATATATTACAGGTTATTATTTTTTAAAGCGGCTATATTATGTAATTTTTTCCCCTATTTGTATATAGGCCTGTTTATCTAGAAGCCCAGTTCTTTTATTTCTGCTTCGGCTCAGACGCCAAGTAGCCCATCATCCCAACACGATACACATACTGACAAACATACATACTGATGTACTTCTGTGAGAAAAATCAATTAGATAACTTTATAAGAAATGGATTGTTATCTACAAACACTTAAGATATGGTTATTTGTTCAATAATTATTAAAAAATCTACTAGTAGATAAGCATCAATATATTCAAGTAAAGCTCTTCGAGAAAACCCAATCTGCATAGAACTCTTTTGGATTAAAGTGGATCTAAAAAGATACAATCTCAACTTTGGATACGAATTGTCCAATTGTTCAAACTGAGATCACCCGATAGCACCTATCTTAAAAGCTAAGTTTTAAATCTGTTACTTCAAAATAAAGATTGCATTAACAATATCGATGGGGAAATCACTGAACGAATAGTGAACATTTCCGAACAATTCTGCTTTCATTTTCCTTGTATGGAACACTAAATTACTTCGGTCTTCAGTTAACAGATTAATGCACTCTAGAAAAACTGTCCTATAGCTAAGTAGGGTATCCTCATTATAAAAAATAAAACCTCACAGAAAAATTTTCTTTTCCAATAACTATCATCAGTTACAAAGGAGAATTATATGCCAGCATATATCTTTTATAAAAAAAGGTGGGGAGGAAAGAATAATTGAGGATATATAATAGCTATGTGCTCGGACTCTTCAAAAATATCTTCGAGTGCGCGCCAAATTCTCCAAAAATAATATATTTTTGATGGATCGATCCAATACGGGTTCATCTGTATTTTGAAGAGCTCGAACAACATGGCATACAGTACTATACAATTTGGTTAGCAAGGTTTCAATTCCATTTGCCGTAGTCGGTTAATGTTCGTCGTAGTCAAAAGGGCTGAGTTACTGATTCCCATTTATTGCAGCTTCTAATTCTGATTTGTAGGACAGTTTCAATACTATCTTCACCATTCATAACCTCGCAGCATTGCCTATGTGGTGCCTGTTTTAGGTATTTTGGTCAAACAAACGTGTTAGTCACTAATTAAATGAAATTTGAGAAATAAAACATTTCAAGTCAAAAGCAAATCTTTTATGGCACGTAGAAAGAATATAAACAGCCATTTTCGCAGCAAATTTTGGCTATTCAATTTATGTGTTGTTACTTGTGGTCAACGAGAGAATATAAACAGCCATTCTCGCAAATAATTATGGCTTTTTCTAGTTATGTATATTTACTATTTAGTAGGAGTCACGTTACCAAACTGATTTGGTACCTTTTCTGGTCGAATGTTGACGAATATTAAACAGCTTTTTCATAGTCAACAGAACCACTTAATGTTATTGACACGTCGTAGGGATGTTAACTAATCAAAATATTTATGTTGAAATTTGGGAGACTATACTTGAAAAATTCTAAATGAGAGACTTTACTTGCGGAAAATTTTTGGCTTAAATGACGGGGAATAACTTACTCTGTACATTTGAAAAGTTAGAGAATAAAAATAATTTTTGGAAAAGAAAATGTATTGAAGATTATATAATGTTTGTAAACCTGATTTTTTAATATTACAAATTGATAACCATATTTACGGTTGGTTGGAATAGTGATCCGAAGCTTGTAGTTGTTGAGATAGTTTAGGGTAGTCCGGTGCACTAAACTCCTGCTATGCGCGGAATTCGAAGAATTACCGGACCACAAGGGTTATAGTTGCCAAGGAAAATAACTTCCCTTTTGGTGAAAACATATACTTGACAGCTAAATATCTGAATTAACTTAATCTTGAAAAAATATTTTTCAAAATATATTTTTGGCCATACCAAATATACAAGTACTAGGTTAAAAAGGGCAGTCTAGTGCACCAAGAATTTCGCATTTACGCAAGTCCGATGAAGGGCCCACCCCAAGGGGGTGTGATATAGACAGCCTTCCTTAATGCAAGCATCATTGGCTGATTCTACATCTCAAACCCGTGACCTATAGATTCATGAAAAAGAAATACTAGTACTAGGCTAATACACAAAAACTTAGTCGCCTGCAAAACTAAAAAAAGGGCAGTCCGGTCCACTAAGCTCCCGCTATGCGGAGGGTCCGGGGAAGGGCCGGACCACAAGGGTCTATCGTACACAGCTTTACCATGCATTTCTACAAGAGGCTGTTTCCACGGCTCGAACCAGTGACCTCCTGGTCACATGGAGGCAACTTAGTCGCCCGGAAAACTAAGAAAAGTATAAAAAATAAAAGATTCATAAAACAAATTAGACCAGAAATTTACCTGTCTCCATACTTGGGGAGATAAAATTGCAGACGTGACATTAACCATTTGAACTGCTAATGCTGGTGCATAATTTTCATTCTCACATTGCCTGTTATAATCACCAATTCTCTTGTAACTTGTCAAAGTTTCTCCATTTTCAAGCTCAATAACTTGATCCAAATAATACTCTATTGGCCTTTGACATGGTTCTATATAATTTGGCCTAGTATTAAACGTAAATGGCTCTTCAAACCCTTTCCATGTTTCAAACGTCCTCATTGGTGTCTCCAATTCTTTAGCATTCATTAAATTTGGATATAACTGAATTGAATATCCCCATGACATTGATACTGACCAATTTTTATTCAGATCGTAACAGAAACTTTGTTGCATTGTTCGACTAGGGTCTTTTTTGTAAGCCTCAATCACCTTCTTCACTGAATCAACTCGATCCATTAATGGAATTAGAGAATGTATAACGCCTATATGGTGCAGTGATACAATTGGTGTCAATGGATGTGCTGCCAAAAGCCCGCGAGGACTTCCTTGTATATCCATCTTAAAAATTATTTACACTGTCAGAATATATACGACTAAATATAACACAATATAGAACAATATAATAAACATTAATTGGAGTTTTGAACTAAAATTTGTGAGTCTTAAATAAGATTAGAAAAAATTAGTGTTGCCAAAAGCCTGTGTGAGTTTCTTGTATATCCATCATATATTTATACTGCCAGAATATACAACTTAAATCTAACACAATAAAAGATGGTACTTATATTAATTCATATTGGAGTTTTGAACAAAAAGTCGTGAGTGCTGAAATAAGCACATCTAAAAATTAATTTCGGAATTTTCTTTGACTCCAGCATAAGTCTGTCCCTAAAAGCTAAAATGAAAAAATATTACAGTAAATATTATAAATCTCTTGATAAAATGGTGTATATGTCCCCACTAAAACTTAAGCAAATAGGAAGAAATCATCCAACAATTTTAATTTCTTCCATAAATCTTCATATTAGTTTACACATTTGGAGTTTTTTGATTATTTTTCAACTTGAAAATGATTTGACTATATATAAAATATTCTATGTTTTTTTGGAAACTTCCTAGGAAAATCCGTAGCCGCTACCCTTGCCGTGCACATTGCATAACCTGGTCACTATGCAATAACTCGCAAATCGCACATGAGATGTAAACCGCATTTGGGCAAGCCCCATGGGACGAGCTTTGCCTGAGGAGGCTGGTGGTGATAGGAATCAACCCCAGGTCTCCCGTGTGGGAAACCAACTCAGCCAACCCTTGCGGGCGCTATGTTGCTTCAATAAAAATAAAATCTCAGCTTAAAATTAATGAAAGATTTGTATACCTGATGGAAGCCAAGTTCTTTGGTGAGAGGAATGCCAATTTCAGACATACAACCACCAATTTTCTGATCAGAACCATAGACATCATGATATCTATTAATACAACCATCTAAAATTTTCACTAGCACTTCTGCAAGAGGATAACTAATTGCAATTCCACCACCCCCATAAGCCATACCATAAGAATGCACTAAATCTTGTTCCACACTTTCTGAATTCCCACCAATATAATACATTTGATTATGATCATATTTACCTAAAACCGTCACCAAATTCTCTGTAAAAAATATTGTATCATCATCCCCCATAACAAACCATCTTACATTCTCCAATCCCAATTCAAAACTCTCTTTCACAATCCTCGCAATTCTCACTGCTGACCTGTCACCAAACCAACACGTGTACTTAAACGACGACGTATCCTCTGAGACCTTATAGGGTGGTGAAGTGTCAGGCCACGACTCGTTTTCTTGAGGATTTTCATCGAGCCAAACGAACCCTCGAGTCACGTTTGGCTCCCACCATAGTTCGGAATAACTTTTACGATTATTCCAAGTCTTTGCGGACCCTCCAATGCCAAATAAAATATGGGTTATGTTTGTAATTTCTTCTTCTTTGATATTTTTTTCTTTGTTACTAATTGTAACGGCAGAAGTATAAGCATAGGAATGTTGTGGCGAAAGTAGTTTCTCATGTTCAGCACAATCTGAACAGCTAAACCATTTGGACCGATTAGAGAAAGCAGTGAAGGAAATTAGAGAAATGGAAGCAAATAAGCAAATTGCAAGAAAACCCTTCATGAAAATTGTGAAAATATTAGTGATTTTGGTGTTAGGAAATAATGGGACGTAGTAATGTACTGTCAAGAGTTTTAATGGATCTTGAATATTTGAAGTAGAAGAAGATTGAGGTGGCTGAGACATTTTCCTTCAAATTTTCTTGCTTTTTTAAGGGAAAAGAGTTTTTCTCAAACAGGGAAGCTTGTTATGATTTTTTGTATTTTGTTTTTTTGGTTCAATAGGGTTGTGGTCTTCTACTTAAATATTAAGTCTTAAAGCTAAGGGACGCTATAAAGTTTATTTATATATCCTACTTCTTGCCTGATTGGGTGGTTATAAGATTTGATTTATATCTTATTTCGAATTTTTAGATTTTTTTATATTTATATTCGAGGTAAGCAAATATATTTATGAGAAGATTTGTAAGTTTCATCACAAGGAAACTGTTTTATGCATGTTGGATTGTGTAATGGAGCTGACCTAAAATCATGATATTTATTGCAAAATTAACTTTGTAAATAATAGTCGAAATATATATTTGTATATTATATACAAAAAATATATAAATTTTATATACTTTTACGGCTACCGGGTAGAGTGATCTTTGCCCTATCTTTATTGGGTGGTTCATGAGTCCCAAATTATCAAAGAGAGGTCAAAACAATATGGCAGCCATGTTAGAACGGTTCTGACTCATCTTTCAAAAGTAGAAAGAAGATAATTTTCAAGTCAATTTGCACGCAGGTCAAATAATTTTTTTTAAAACAATCTATTACTATTTTTGTCTATGTTATCCTTTTTTCTTGGAGTTTCTTACAAAAAAATAGAAGATCATACTAGTTTTAAATGCTTAAAGAGTGGTGAAGATCAACTTGAGCACTATGAATGCCTAAACATTAATCTTTAACAAGAAATAACACACAAGAATAATAAATAAATGAAATTGTTGGTGTCAACTTCTACGTGGAAGAGTTGTGCACATCCTCAACAGGGAATAGTTATGATTTTTATTGTTCTAACAACTTATGTTTAAAAAAAGGAAAAAAGATTAAAATATTTTAAGGGATAATTTTAAATAATGGAAAATAGAAAATGGGCTTTTATGCTTGTAAATATACTATGGATCAGGGGAGAAATGAGATCAATGAACTGTGGATCATCCTGTTTTCTAATTAAACATCTATGTAACGAATGACCGTGGTGTTATTAAATTGCTAATAAATATCCTAAATCAATTAACACATCTTGATAGGTTACATGTATTTAAGTACATTTAAATAAGATGCTTTTGAAGCATTAATTTACAATTTATAAAGAAGCGAGAAAATGATTTCGAGTAATTAATGGAACAAGCGTCTCCAAATTGAAGTATGTTTTTTTTTTTTTTTTTGGCAATATACAGAATTTGCCTCTTGGCTAATCTCTAGCTAAAAGGTGCATAAACTATGTATATATTTTGTATATAACACACACACACACACACACATATATATATACACACACACACAAANATATATATATATATATATATATATATATATATATATATATATATATATATATATATATATTTTACTCCTAAATGTGTAATTGTTAACCCATCGGAAGATTTGGATGAGTGAAATCATTTAAGGATGAGTGTAGCTCAAATCAATTCATCCAAAAGATTGGAATATTGGATCTACTTGGAATGTATACTAGCCCCAATTTTTAATCAAATATCTTTTAAGCCTTTGCTATCTATAGATATGAGTTTAATAAAGTTTTATTTCATAAGAAATTAATAAATAGTACTATATTCTATTTACTGCCGCTGTGATGGCACCTAACCCAACCCTCTAGGTAAGCCAATTAACAACTATCCAATTCTAATGAAATTTAATAAGACAATTAAATAAAATAAAAAAAATATTTGAATCTTTTATACATTCCCCAAGGACTGGTAATACAAATCATGAGCTTCTAAGATTAGAATTTACAAAGCTAGTATGAAATAAATACATCATCTTTTCGAAATGTACATAAACAGATTTTTATAAATCTAAGGCTACCATGAACAACATACAGCAACATCCGGAACACAGGTAAGTCTTCAATTCCAGTTCCCGCCGATCACAGCAACATCAGCATCCAACATCTGCACGCAAGGTGGAGAAGTGTAGTATGAGTACAACTGACCCCATGTACTCAATAGGTAACAAACATAACCTTAGGTTGAAAGTAGTGACGAGCTGGAATAAAGGTCGGAGTCCAACAGCAATAGCCAACAACAGTTCATAACAACATAATGAAAGTAATAGAAGAAGTAACTCAGAGAAAAAATGCTCAGCTCGTTCACAGTTTCTGAAATAAGGCTTGTTTTTCAAGTATATCAGTGAAATTTCAAATCTTTTATCGAAATCGCCAAAAATATAAGTAAGTTTGAACACTGTAATTTTTCGCAAAAAAGCTTTCAACATGCAAATATTTAATTTTCAAATGGCATGAGAAAAATAAATCTCTATGCCTATATGTTAATATGTGTGAGAAGTCATGAATAATGTGATACCGTACAACATGAGGAAAATGCATCTCTATGCCTGTATGTCATATGTGCATGTCAAGCAATGTATCTCAAAGATGAACTCATGTACGCACACTTTCAGAGTACTCAATCTCACTGTCTCACATTTTCCGCTTATCATGCTCAACCACTCGACATGCTCAATCACTCAGTACTGTATATGGCCAATCCAGCCCAGGGAAGATCCATCCCGAATATATACATAGCAACTAACAGTCAGTCGCTCAATAATGTATAATGCCAATGCAGCCCGGGAAGATCCATCCCAAAATATAAATGCTTGATCCATCCCTCAATATAAATCAATCGCGCTCATTAGGGGTGTGTGCAGACTCCGGAGGGGCTCCTTCAGCCCAAATGCCATAATAAGCCAAATCCAGGCATAAATCAATATAACATGCTGTGACGTGCAGCCCGATCTCATAATATCACTCACACTCAGGCCCTCGGCCTCACTCAGTCATCAATCTCTCCAGTCTCTCAGGCTCACAATGCCATGAGACTAGCCCAAAATGATGATATGATATGTAAATAAATAGCAACAGAGACTGAGATATGATATGGAACGAATGAATATGAATGAGTATGAAATTACAATTTAAACAAGTAATTCACCAGCAATATGACCTCAGTACGTCCCAACAGAATAAATAAGAAGCCCAGACATGGTTTCTAACATGGATCACAGCTCAATAGCTCTAGGACGTAGAGACTTCATGGTTACAAATAAGATCAGGTAACTACACAGTACCACAGGAATAACGGAGTCACAATTCACACGGTGCATGTCCACACGCCCGTCACCTAGCATGTGCGTCACCTCAACACCAAACACATAACACGTAATTCGGGATTTCATACCCTCAACACCAAGTTTAGAAGTGTTACTTACCTCGAACAAGCCAATTCCAATACCGAGCAAGCCAAAACGATGCTCCAAAAATACCATCCCGCGCATACCGACCTCCGAACGGTTCAAAACTAGCCAAAAGCAACTCAAGCATCAAATAATGCCCAAGGATACAATTCCAAATGATAAAGGTCGAATCCTTAATATAAAATCCAAAATCGGCCAAAAAGTCAAACTCGGGTCCGCACCTCGGAACCCGACAAAACTCACAAAATCCGACAACCCATTCAATTAGGAGTCCAACCATACTAGTTTCACTCAAATTCAACTCCGAATAAATGTTCAAAAGTCAAAAATTCACTTTATGAAATTTTAGACGAAACCCCCAAATTTCACTTTGAAATCATCAATCAAATGCCAAAAATGAAGATGGATTCATGAAATATAATCACAATCGAGTATAGAACACTTACCCCAATCCATATGGTGAAAATCGCCTTCAACAATTATCCAATTCCGATCTCCCCAACTCAAAATATGACCAAATGAACAAACCTTCGATATTAAGTATTTTTGCCCAGCTGTTCTGCCTCATTTTGTGTGCTAAATAATCCCAAAACTTTCTTTTGATGCCTCCAATGGATTTCTTGTAAAATTTTAGTCAAGTTAGGCTTTTGAATCACTCCATTTGACTTTATAACGAAGGAGATATGTTGGTTTCAATATTTGGAAATAGTGCAAATTTTTAAATACGAAGTCAGTGGCAATTTCGTAATTAATCTGAAAAATCTGGCAACCCAAGTTTTAGTAAAATGACCATAAACTCCTTATACGATGTCGAAATTCGACGATTCTTTTTGCTATGGCTCCGTACTTACAATAAAGATCTAATGCTTCAATCAAAACAGAACACGGAGCTCATTTGTTCAATGTGGTACTATTTATGCTTGAAGAAACGATGTCGAAACATAAGAAAAACGAGCGCAACACAACCCAAACATATCTGAAACTCACCCGAGCTCCTCGGGACCCCATAAGAACATACCAACAAGTCCCATAACATAACACGGACCTACTCGAGTCCTCAAATCACGCATAATAACATCGAAACGACGAAATACACCTCAAATAAAACTTAATGAACTTTCGAACTTTCGACTTTCAAAAACTTGCACCAAAACATATCAAATCAACTCAGAATGAACTCAAATTTTGCACACAAGTCCTAATACATGATACGGAGCTACTCGTGCCCCCAAACTACTGAGCAATGTGCAAATGCTCAAAACGACCGGTCGAGTCGTTATGCCAATTTCATCCGGGTTTACGACAATTGAGTCCTCAACTTAGACAGGTTAAAATATGAAAAATCTATATGAACATGTCATGACTTAATCTATTTACAGTTTCATTAGTTCAAATTTTTATTAATTTGATCTGGAAAATGGCCGTTAAGATGTTTACAAATTTGTTATTTTTTCTTAATTATTATTAAAAAACAAACAACAGATAATTGATAAAACCTTCAAATCATGTCAGCATCTTCAATTAATTAAGAGGTACTTATGTGATCGCATTTTTAAAAGCTCATCAATCTTGTAGTTCCTTAAATATTTTACAAACGATTGTTTTGTTGCCTGAGAGTTGAAAATTCAGAAATCAATAATGGAAACTTTCATGATTTTAAAGAGAAAAATGGAGTTTTGAAGAGGAATAGAGGGTTATATTAAAATGTTAGGGGGTTTAGCTGTTAAGCATGGTTACTCATTTAATTGCCTATAATTAAGGGATCCTCTGTACTATAAATTTATATACAAATTATAAATATAAATACGGTCTATAATT